TGTGGTGCCCAAGATCCCAAGAGTAGAAGGGGTGAGAAGGGATTGCAGCGTGTACATCCCCACTAGGGGGTGATTTCTCGCTTTCTGTTTCTCTGTCTCTCTGTTTGTCTGGCAAGCCTACGCGCCCTATCGCAAACAAACAAACAAACAAACAAAAACACCTCTCCAATAAAATAAAATAAAATAAAATAAAATAAAATAAAATAAAATAAAATAACTAACTATACCAACAGTGTTCCTCATGCTATTTTATCATGAGAAGGTTCAGGGCAGAGAGTTTGGCCTACTCTGCTTGCTGACTGCTCAGAGGCAGGGGGAAGGCATGTGGGCTGGCCAAGTTTGAGGAAAGGGGATCCCTGGGGAAGGGGTGGCATGGGCCCTCCCACAATAGTGGTTTGAAAAGTACGCATCATGGATCCTGCTGTTTCTAATATTAAAGCCGCTCCAAAGAGAATACTGTCCAGTGAAAAGAAGTAGAGCAAATAAAGCAATTTTCTAAGGAATCATATGAAAATATGTTTTATTTGACTTACATAGTAATGCTGGTAAAATGAAAAGTGTGCCTGATTTATTCAGAATTGCCCAATGAGGACGATGATCATCCTCCTCTCCCTCCGCTCCCTCTTCTGTTCTCCTTGTTCTTCTACTTCTCTTCTTCCAAGAGTTTTACTTGTGTTTCAGTAACCCCTTAATCACAATGAGCACCGCCGGCTCCATTCAATCACAATATCTGGGATGCATTTAGACAAACTTCATGTCAATTTTTACTGACCTACATAATGACTTTATATCAATTCTTATTGACGTACATAAACCAGGTACCGTTTTTCAGAAAAGTTGGCCTTTGTCAAATCCGATGGCTAGATTTGAAGTATTTAGTCATTTTATTACAAATGAATATTAGCTTTTATTGCCAGAACCTTAGGTCTGGGAGAACTGTTAATTCTTGGAAATATGAATCTGTTTCCACGCTGTCAACTAGCAAGTTAGTGCTCCTGAAAGTCTCCAGGGCCAAAGCGTCTACAGCCAGGTGAGTTGATTTGTTAGTTAATCTTATTCATTCTGTAGTGTCATGTATACTACCAATAAACGGTGCCTTTACAGCTTATTTATTCTACATGCAAAGATAGGATGCTTAATATATTGGGTGGTCAGAAAAGGCATAACACATTTTTGCCAGAAAAAATACATTGTGACTTTTCCAACAATGCAATCATATAGCATTTACTCCTAATTTGGTGATCTGGTTTAGGTACTATCATCTCACTATACTTATACCTTCGTAGCCAAAGCTATTAAAATTCCTATTTGGGGACTGAGTGGCCGTACAGCAGAAAAGTGTGCTCTGTGAAGCTGACCCACATGGGAAGGTTGAGTTTGTTGGGCACCTTCATGCCAATGGTCTGGGGTTGGCTAGAGCTGGGAGTGGATCACTGTGTCAAGATCCTGCTGGAGGTGGCAATCTGTTTCTATCTCCCTGCTCAACCTCTCACCCTATTTCTCTTGCCCATGGGAGAAATAATGAAAAAGAAGAATGAAAAAGAAAGACATGAAAAGAAAGGAAGAAGAAAGAAAAAGAAAGAGAAAGAAAAACAAAAAATTAAAATTTACGCTTAAAATACATTTCAGTTACCGTACTAACAATAATAGGTTTTCTTTTTGTGTTTTTGTTGACTCCTCCAGACGTGGATGTCATTGAGTGCTCCTTGCAGTTCCCGGATGACAACTACTCTTGGTGGGACCTCTTCATGAAGATCTGTGTCTTTGTCTTTGCCTTTGTGATCCCTGTCCTCATCATCATCGTCTGCTATACTCTGATGATCCTGCGCCTGAAGAGTGTCCGGCTCTTGTCTGGCTCCCGAGAGAAAGATCGCAACCTCCGCCGCATCACCAGGCTGGTCCTGGTGGTGGTGGCGGTTTTCATCATATGCTGGACCCCCATTCACATCTTCATCCTGGTGGAGGCCCTGGGCAGTACCTCCCACAGCACGGCTGCCCTCTCCAGCTATTACTTCTGCATCGCCCTGGGTTACACCAACAGCAGCCTGAACCCCATTCTCTATGCCTTTCTTGATGAAAACTTCAAGCGCTGTTTCAGGGACTTCTGCTTTCCAATTAAGATGAGGATGGAACGTCAGAGCACGAGCAGAATCCGAAATACTGTTCAGGACCCGGCCTACATGAGGGATGTGGATGGGATGAATAAACCAGTATGACTAGTCGTGGAGATGTCGTCGTATAGTTCTCCAGGAAGAGAAGAGTTCAATGATCTAGGTTTAACTCAGATTACTACGGCAGTCTGAGGTGGAAAGCTAGAATTTTTAGTAAACTTTTAGAAATCTCATGGCCTGAGGTCATCAGATGCAGGCTGCATCAGCAATCCAAGGCAGTGGACCGTCCAGTTGGAGGACAAAAGATGTGACTCTTCCCTTGGGGGGAAGCAGGGAAGCAAGGCTGACTCCCCGTTCCTCTGATGAACAAAGGGACAGGCCCTTTTCTTTTGGCTGCCTAGATTTAGTGCAGCACCCGTCTGCACTATGCAATGTGGTTTCAAAAGCTCTGCTTCAAAAAAAAGAAAAAGAAAAATGTTGGTTTCAGAACTAGTGGGCATCCAATCCAGAGGTTTAACATGGACCACAACGACCTCTAAGAATGAGAACCATTTCCATGCCCACTCACTTTGCATTGTGTGGACATGCATTTCATGTGGCTGTGTTGTGAGGATTCCAGCTTGAGTATGACTTAAATCTGCACCTGAAGTATCTGATATTCATGGATAGGGCATTATTTTCCTATTTATGAAATCATTTAAACATGCAAAAGTGGTTTCTGACATGGTTTAATTCTTTGAAAACTACAGTTGTTTTTTTCAGCATGCTGTTCAGGTTAATAGTCTTCTGATAAAGCATGTCCTGATTTCAAGAAACCTAAAGTGGTTTAAATACCACTGGAAGCATATATAGTTTTAGCTGTAAATAATAGTCCATTTGCAAATAAATAAGTTTGTCTTCTGGCTTAGAAATGTTCTGAGAGCACATTCATGATCTCCCCAGTTAATAAGAGTTGCTGCTGAGACATTTTGCTGCAACGTAAGTTAATCTCTGGGAATTACTCATGGCGTGATCTTTTTCAGACTTCCTGAATACCATTCAGTCCTTTAATAGAGCTTATAGCTCATGTGTTAACAAATCACAAAACCTTTAACTCACTCCCCGCTTGGAGCCTTGGCAGGATCTCCTGTATTTGCAGCACCTCTTTGTGAATTTTGGCGATTACCAGATTCTCTCTATTCAGGGAGGGAGAGGTATTTTACTTATGTAGATCTCAAGATGGTATTTTATAGATGCTTCCAAGTGTGTGCTGAATGAGGACATGATGGCTCTCAGTGCCTGCACAGACCTGGTACGGTGTTCTGTGAAGGGCATCCCTGTGGAGGATCATGCCAGGAGCAGCACATTTAGGGTAGTCTTGCTAAAACTTCCAGATGACCTGTAAATTCTTCTTGGCCCCAAAACGTACGGTATCGGAGGTAACGGCTTTTTCTCTAAGTGGCTTGGGAAGATAAAAAGGATAATTTAGAGTGACGCCCATCTCTAAACCTATGTCCTATTCGGGTGGCACCCTCTGGAATTTAGTAGGAAAATCAATGTGTAGCTCTTTATAACTTCGGAGTTCAGTACACTACACTCTGCTCACCACGGGCTTTCTCTCCTGTGTATATACCTCCTCTCTTTTGGAAACCGAGCCTCACAACTGAAGAATGTGTACGTGGCTTCACAATTTTATTCTGAATACAAACATTCAGTCTCTATTCTAGATTATCATGGCACCTAACAAAGGTGACTTAAGACAGCGTGGTAGGACTCTTTCCTAAAGAAAACAAAGTGTTCTTTTGAGTAGTTCTGAAATTTCATCCAAGTTCCAAGGTGCCTTTGTATTCTCACAATTCATTGTTGATAGGAATGGCTTAAATTTAGTTGATATTAAGTTCATGGTTAAAAAAATCTGTTGTACGGGTGAAATATCTAGATTGAGAGTAGTTTCAGGAACAAACCTCACTGAAAGAAGAAATAGAAAACCTTTATGGAATAGCAAAACTCAAGAGAGGTTCTTGGTAGATGCTTAGCCAGTGCAAAGATGTACCGGAGATCCCATGGTGGAATGAAGTTCTGGCAGTGTAGTCTCTTTAGAGCAGCACTCCATGTGAGCTCATGGCCTTCACCGCGACTACTGCAGTCTCCAGGTGCTGCCTAGTTATCCTGCATCTCTTCGCATATAAATTTGCAGCCCAAAGAGAGGGTGGAGCAGCTGAGGAGCACTTCATATTCCTTTAAGTGCCCCTTAAGGGACTATTACAAATTTCTCTATTATTATCACCAATTTCCTAAACCAAAAGAGGAAAGAAGAAAGTGTCATCTTTGGGCACTGCTTTAAAGAAGTGATAGAATGAATCACATATGATAGGAAAAACACCATTTGTGCACGTGTTTCTTTGTGAAAAGTGTGTATACACGTGTGTGTGCGTACATGCACATGTGAGTGTGTATGTGAGGGTGTACTGCCATGAATCAGTGATCGGATTGTCCTTTTCTCGTTTCTGACAAGGCATTTGTCTAAGCCCCCTCTGCCTCTCAGTATCTCCCAGGTGTTGTATCTCTTCTCTCCCCAACAAGGACGACAATGTAAGCCATGTCTCTGAGACCAGAACTGCCTGTAGCTAATTTCGAGATTGACTCTCTACTGAACTCTACCTTGCTAACTGGTAACAATTTCTGGAAGACAGGATTTGGAAGGAGTCAGAGAAAGTGCAGAGAGAAGTAGCCAAGCAGAAGGCAGCAGCAAGGACAAAACTAATTGGGAAGAAAATGGAAACATTTTCTCAGATGACTTGTGCAGCTCTGTGTAGCCTCTCGAGTTTAAGACAAAATTCCACGATTTACACTGAAAAGGAAGCATAGTTGGAAAAATAGTTTGGAAAAAATAAATCAAGGAATGTTCACATATATCTTAAGTAAATGGTTTCTTTGTGTGCTATATTACTGAGACATGAAGGTCCTTTAACTTTGTATAATGATTACCAGATAATTTATAGATGTTTCATCTAGCACTGGGACATAGTGATGAATAACTGGAATAAAAGAAATACATTGGCTGCTTTAAATTAGAGTATTTTAGGAGAAAGCCATGACAAGGTTGTATGTGTATTCAATGAGATTTATTTTCCAACCAAGACTTGTTTGGATGATTCAGCGTAAATACAAAAATCCCATCCAAAAAGAGAATAACCTTGCTTGCCCTAAGGAATTTTCTTCTCCGGAATAAAAATGTATTCAGATATTCTTTTCTATAATGTATAGGATAATTATGCATTGTATATATGATTGTGCCTTGCAATAAAACCAAAACTGTACCTGCTAAGAACCGCAACAGTGAATTATATGCACATTATTAATTATTTATTTATTTTTAATGTCTTCTATAATGTTGCACTTCAGCACAAACACAAAACTCAAGAGTTGCTTTTGCTTTCCAATCCATGACAACGCTGTGGATTATTAATTGGAAGGAGCAACTCATGTAAGAACCTTAAATAGGAGTTTTCATTCCTAGGCCTATGGATCACTTGGAAAATCTCACTTGTTATCACAGTAATGCTGTCAGGGTCTCAGAATCAATGTTGTATCCTGCCTTCCCAATGAAAATCATACACCTTCCCACTATGATAAACATGCAAAATTAAAAAGAAACCCGCTCCAATAAAAGCATAAAGAAACCAAACTCAGCTAGGAAGGCGAGCAGCCTTGTGCCCTGTTCTCAATGCACTACAACCCCAGCACTGCCATGGATTAGCTGTGTCTACACCTCACGGTATTGTATGCGCAAACACAAATACTTTTAAACCAGCATCTTTACAGAACGATCATTGTAAGTAGAAGCAAAAACTTGGAGAAGGGACTCAGCTTGCCTATTGGGAAGAACATACTAGCAGGTCCTAGTCCCACTTTAAAATGAAGCACATTTCATATTACTGTCTAGCCTTCATCGATAACTCAGTATCATATGATCAGATTGCAAGCGGATTATGGGTTCTGCTTTCATTTCTGGGAAATTGGGCCTGTTTAATAAAATAAGGACAAAAGTAAATTGGAGAAAGCACAAGGAAGTAAGTGCACGAATGGTTTTCCGTGGGACACGAAACGCTTTCCTTGGGCTGGATGCTGTGTACTTGGGTACATAAACGTCTTAGTATATGGAGCGTGATTAGAAACTGAGTTTTTAAAAGAATTATATATTTAATTTTATATATTATTATTATCATTATTTCAGTTTGCTATAGAGGATGTGTGCTCACCAGAGAGAAACAGAGAGAG